GCCCGCCCCGGTGGCGCAGTCCGCATGCGGTTCCCCCATCCAAGGCAGCGCTTCGTGGCCCCATATGGAGCCCCACCGAAAGCGGCACCCACAACGCGTTACCAACAATTGCTTATGGTTGGGTCTTTCGCCAGGATAATTTTTGGTTCGTCGGCCAGCCCCCACCCCCCGTTCATCTGAGCCGACGCAAAGGCATTTTATCTGAAGGCCGCACACTAGGGATCAATTCGACATCCGCCACAACAGGAAAACAAATTGTCATCCGCCAAAGGGGGAATCAATGTGTAGATCCGCCCCAAAGGGAATCCTTTTGTAGTCCGCCACGAAGGGAATCAATTTGTAATCCGCCACAAAGGGAATCAACTCGTAATCCGCCACAGAAGGAATGAATTTGAAATCCGCCGTCAGTCAAATCTAGCCTGTGAATCCGTACTTGCCCTTCCGTGAACTGCTCTACAGCGCTGCTGAGCCGCACCCTTGAGTTAGAAAACAACATTATTGCATGTATTCGTCATGTGTGTTGGCAGCTATTCACCATTGGCCAGACTCCTTCTTCTCATGCATCCTGTTATTCCACGGTGGAAGCCGGTGCAACACGTCATGTTCCAGGGCATTGAGATAAAATTTCCACCCCCAGACGGGCCCATGACGGCCCAACAGGCACCAACGATCCTTATTATCATTATTGCTACTACTACTACGACTACGACTTCAACAACGACAATAACAACAACTACTACTACTACTACTACTACTACGACTACGACTACTACTACTACTACTACTACTACTACTACTACTACCACTACTACCTTTACTATCACTACTACGACTAGTAGTAGTAGTAGTACTACTACTACTACTACTACTACTACTACTACTACGACTTGTACTACTCGTACAACTACTACCACTACTACGACTACCACTACTACTGCTACCACTACTACTACTACTACCACCACTACTACTACTACTACTACTACTACTACTACTACTACTACTACTACTACTACTACTACTACTGACACTACTACTACTACTACTACTACTACTGCTGCTGCTGCTACTACTAATACTACTACTACTACTACTACTACTACTACTACTACTACTACTACTACTACTACTATTACTACTACGACTACTACTACTACTGCTACTACTACGACTACTACTACTACTACTACTACTACTACTACTACTACTACTACTACTATTACTACTACCAGTATTTGTATTACTACTTTGTTTACGACCATCACTTCTACTACTACTACTACTACTACTACTACTACTACTACTACTACTGCTACTACTACTACTACTACGACTACGATTACTACGACTACTGCTACTATTATTTTTACTAGTACACTACAAGCACTGTACTTGTATTATTACTACTTCCACACTACTACGACTTCTACTACTACTGCGACTGCTACTACTATTGCTGCTACGACTACTACTACTACTACTACTACGACGACGACGACGACGACTATTAGTAGTAGTACTACTACTACTACCACTACTACTACTACAACAACTACTACTACTACTACTACCACTACTACTACTACTACTACTACTACTACTACTACTACTACTACTACTACTACTCTTACTACTACTACTACTACTACTACTAACACTACTACTACACTACTACTACTACTACTACTACTACTACTACTACTACTACTCTTACTACTACTACTACTACTACTACTACTACTACTACTACTACTACTACTACTACTACTAGTTCTATTACTATTAATTTCCTCTGTACGATTACGATTACTATTACTATTACTCTATACATATATTTGATTATATATATACTAGTAGGTTGGCTGGGGGCTTGGCGCGTGGTCGGTTTCGCCGGAGACTAGCTTGTGTATGTGTTTCGATCGGTTGTTTGTCTACATATAAAGTAATGATTTGTTAGCCATCACCTCTTCCGCTTTTCCTTTCTTCCTCGCCGCCTGTGCATTTGTTGGCTGACATTTTCTGCGAGCGCCGCTGCCAGTCTGCAGCGATGACGCGCGGCCTGGGCGGGAGGGTGTAGGAGGAGTCTGCCGCCATGGCCGGTGCGTTCTCGTGCCCACTTAGGTGAGTGGCGGTGTGGGGGATGGGAGAGCACCGGGGGGCAACGGCAGAGTGGGGACTGGCCCAGTTGGGAGGCATCAGCCCCAGATCGCCCCTTCGTCACCAGCAGGGGCTGGAGCACCCATCTCGCCCAGAAGCGCGCGGTTTCCATTGTCGGGGGCACGCCGCCGATCTCTCATCGATGTGCATCTGATTCGGGGTCCTTGTCTCCCGCCCTGAGCCAGTCTCCACCTGTCGACCCCCTCGCGAGCACGAGGAGGGAGGATGGGGTGAGTGGCGCTCGCGAGACATGCAGTGCGCCCTCTGTTCCAGCGCCGTGGCGCCTGCGACTGCACCCTGCGCGTCGCCTGTGCGCGCCCGTGGAGTAGTTTCCTCTCTCCGCCTTGCTTGTAGAGGCCCTGGCGGAGTGCGGTGCTGGGGCGCTCCCGCTCCAAGGGTGATGATGACGCTGATCCGATGCAGATGCCCCGATGCTCCACATGACCATGGTGGGTACACTCAGTATCATGGTGCTGCTCGTGTGTCGGTCTCGAGCTCCACGGCACGAGGCGGTGTGCTGATTTTGCCGGCGGTCGCAGGCAGCGGGGCCTTTGTTGGGCTTTGCACTGGCACGTACTAACCAGCGCCCTCTCCCTCAGTCCTTTCCGCAGAGTGCACCTTATGTAGCACCACCGCCATACCTGGCCAGGCCCATGCTGGGCACCAGGAGGGCGCAGACCTTAAACCTGGGCGGCGGAGAGCCCGAAACGGAACATCTCCAGAGCAGAGCGACAGCTGCGCTGTCATGTGCAGGCGGGAGGCCATGCGGGAGAGCGCACGGGCGAGACAGCGAGGGACCATACGGACAACCACACCGGGGACCATACGAGAAGCCATCCGGGAGACCGTGTGGGACACCACAGGCGGGAGATCACGCGGGAGGCCATCCGGGAGACGACGCGGGCGACGCAGGGCCACGGGCCATCGACCACACGGGAGACCATACGCGAGGTCTCGTGCGGGGGGCCATGCGGAGGACCAGGGGCCACGGTCCACCGATTCCGCATCTGCAAGGGCTCACGGGGGGCCAGACAGGCCGTGTTGGGAACCGTGCCAGGACCCATGACAGCCCTGACTGGGCATGTCGGTTGAGGGCGTAACACACGTGTTTTTTTGCGTGCTCCAGTGCGTGAGACATTTAGGCATTTGCATTTGTTCGAGAACTGACAACTATAGAATTATGCTTGCAATCGTGGACCCCCAATCGGTTGTTGTTGCACTTTCGATGTTCATCTTGTCGCGTTGCAGTCTGCGGAAGGTGCAACAGGCGTGTTGTAACTTAGTTGGTGGTATCTATGCGAAGCGGTGAACATGTGTCAATTCATGAGTTGACACCTCCACTGCTCGCGCAATTATCCCACCCTCCCTCTCGCAACTTGTTTGGCAAACACTATGTGGCAACGATTGCGGTAGCCGATCTACACTTGCTACTGCATTTGTGTTGCCGATCTCGCGCTTACCGATGGAACGTCCCAGTGCGTCTAAAAGGCCGCGCGGGCGCTTCAATGCGGATCAGTGGCTCGGGCGGGAGCGGTATCATAATGACGTTGGCAACGGCGGCAACGACGATAATAGTAGTGATGGTGGTGGCGATGATGACGATGACGACGGCCAGGCCAATAACGGCGTCGATGCTAGTGACCTCGATGACAATGATGATGTCCTTGTGTCGGTGATAAAGGTGATTGTGCTGATGATGGCGGCAATGGTTGCGATTGGCGATGACGATGACGGCGTTGATGCGATGGTGCCGGTGAGGGTGATGGCGAGGAAATGCGCGCGCAGAAGTCGTAGAGATTTGGCGATCCAACAATTAACTACAAATGGCTTTTCATATGTCCCAAGCAGTGTTTACATTTAGGCGTTCTTTTCCTTTCCTACGGAACTGGGCCTGCGGGCCGGTTTGGCTGCTCCGTGCTCGCCGTCGCCGCCCCGTCGCCGTCTCGTCGCCGCCCGTCGTCTGGGCCTGCGGGCCGGTCTGGCGGCTCCGTGCTCGCCGTCGCCGCCCCGTCGCCGCCTCGTCTTTGCATGGCTTTGCATGGTTTTGCATTGCGTTGCCTTGCCTTGTTTTGCATTGCTTTGCGTCGCATTGGTTTGCATTGTGTTGCTGTGCCTTGGTTTGAGTTGCTTTCTGGCGCGTTGCATGGCATTGCTTCGCATGGTTGTGCAGGACGTTGCCTTAGTTGGCATTGATTTGCGTTGTTTTGGGTTGGTTTGCGCTGCTTCGCATGACTTTGCGTTGCTTTGTATCGCGATGCTTATTTTGCACCGCATAGATTGCTCCAACAGGACTGCTCAACAGCAGATATTGCTCCACACGGATTGCACCGCATCGATTGTTCCACATAGATTGCAGAGTATACAATGGTAGAGACACACTCACTCTTCGGGGTCCACGTTGGCGGACATGTTCGTTTTTCCAGGAAATGACCCCTGCAAACTGATTGTGTCAGATAAAGATGTGCGCGCGTGGAATTAGTTGACATGAGTGAGGGAATCGATGCCGTCTTGGCTGGTATTGGGTGATTCTATTCGCGCAGCGCACGATGTGCATAAGCATCTGCAATTTGCAATGGCACTGTGGGTATCGATAGCCTGTGGGGGTGAGAGTGTTAGAGTCCGTTCTTTGTTGTTTCGAAAAGGAAGCTGTTTTCGACCTTTGTGAAGTCGTCATGTCTACCGCCCGTGCAAAGGCCGCAACCAACCGGCTGGAACTTGTCCAGCCAAAACCACATGGCCCGATTGTTAGAGCGCCTCTACGGCCGCACTGCGCACGCGCGGGCTCACGCGCAGAGCGACCAGCTGGCTTGGCACAGGAAGTGCGACCGCGGTGGCATGTACCGACGGGAGCTCCCAAACGCGTCTCCAACGGTCCGTTGGCACGCGGGCCCCCCAGTGCTGCTCGGTGATTGGCAACATCTGGTGAAGACGATGGCGATGACGCCCACGCGTCGGTGGTGAAAGTATTTGTGATACTGGTGGTGGCAGTGGCGGCGGGTTCTCGGTGACGATCGCGGTAGTGATGTGGTTGAGTTCACGTTGCAGTGCAAAACGGGGTACGGTCAAGATCGGGTTTGGAGGGCGCACTCGGTTTTAGCCACCCTCATATCTATGTTTTCGCAAGCCTGCCCATATACATTTCACAGTCAGTCAGACCCACCGGCGCTCAGACCGACTCGTGCTCACACTGACTCGCCTTAAGATCCACTTGCATTCCTATCCTCACCCTCCTGTGTCTTCGTGGTCCACTGTTCACCGCGATGTCGCAGGCGAGGATCGGGCCGGGAGTAGGTCACTCCATCCTTTACGTTCAGACTGAAGGGACGTCTCAGGCGGGTTGCGTTTTCGGGCTCCGCCGATTTCTTTCTGCTGGTGGTCCATTGCCCAACGCGGTATTTCACCCGTGGCACTGGGACGCCCTAAGGGGAGCCGCCACTGGTTAGGACATTCCATTCTTTGCGGTCGGATTGTGGGGATGTATCAAGCGGTTTGCTGCTTTCGGCCCAACCGATTTTTTCAGTCAGTGGTCCAGAGTTCATCGCCGTAAAGCCCGCGTGGCCTTCGGGCACACCGGGCCTGAAACCACCAAGTGGTAGGAACCTCCATTATTCGTGCGTTTATATCGTGGAGATGTCTCTGGCGGTTTGTCCGTTTCGGCCCCGCCAGTTTTCTGTGCTGGTGGACCGATGTTCGCTGCGATAGAGCAGGCGTGGCACTGGAGCACCCCCAAGGGAAGCCGCTGGGGGGGGGGCACTTCACTCTTTGCGAGTGGATTGTGGGGATGCCTTCGAAACTCGTCTGCGTTTGCTCGAGGGGGAGCCCGCAAAAGGTTCTCGCTGTAGCCGCAGGGGGGGGTCGCCTGACAAGGACCCAGCTTCCGCCGTCGCCTCGCCAGTCGTCCAGTCGGTTCCCGCTCTCACGCCGAGAGTCACAACCAGACAGACGCTCACACAGGGACGTACGGGAAACCGGGATGCGCGTGTGGGGATAGCTGCGTCTCGCAATGTTGCATGGAATTCGCACGTGTTGCATGTCATATGCTGCAGTTTAGGAGGAGGAGGAGGAGGAGGAGGAGGAGGAGGAGGAGGAGAAGAGGGAGGAGGAGGAGGAGGAGGAGGAGGAGGAGGAGGAGGAGGAGGAGGAGGAGGAGGAGGAGGAGAAGAGGGAGGAAGAGGAGGAGGAGGAGGAGGAGGAGGAGGAGGAGGAGGAAGAGGAGGAGGAGGAGGAGGAGGACGAGGTAGCCAGCGCACGAGGTACGTAGCCGGTTTTAATACATGCTCCGCGTGCGGAACATATATTCCAAAGTTTCCTGCGACGTACCCAACCCTTTCTACACAAGTGGCAACTGCATTCAACACCACTCCATACCGAAGGACATTTCGGCGCCATGGTATAGTGGTGATCTGCGTAGGACGTACCTCCGCTGAGCCTCCCAGCAGCCCATGCGCGCCAGGTGAGCCAAGCGCGCCAGGCGCGCCAGGTGCGCCAGGTGCGCCAGGTGCGCCAGGTGCGCCAGGTGCGGCAGGTGTGCCAGGTGTGCCAGGTGCGCCAGGTGCGCCAGATGCGCAAGGTGCGCCAGGTGCGCCAGGTGCGAGCCAGGTGCGAGCCAGGTGCGCGCCAGGTGCGAGCCAGGTGCGCGCCAGGTGCGCCAGGTGCGCCAGGTGTGCGCCAGGTGTGCGCCAGGTGTGCGCCAGGTGCGCGCCAGGTGCGCCAGGCGCGCCAGGCGCGCCAGGCGCGCCAGGCGCGCCAGTTGCGCCAGATGCGCCAGGCGCGCCAGGTGCGCCAAGTGTGCGCCAGGTGTGCGCCAGGTGTGCGCCCGGTGTGCCAGGTGCGGCAGGTGCGCACAGCGCGCCAGGTGTGCCAGGTGCGCCAGCTTTGCCAGGTACGCCACGTGCGCCAGGCGCGCCAGGCGCGCCAGGTGCGCCAGGTGCGCCAGTGGCGCCAGGCGCGGCAGGTGCGCCAGGTGCGCCAGGTGCGCCAGGCGCGCCAGGCGCGCCAGGTGCGCCAGGTGCGCCAGGTGCGCCAGGTGCGCCAGGTGTGCGCCAGGTGCGCCAGGCGCGCCAGGTGCGCCATGTGCGCCAGGCGCGCAAGGTGCGCCAGGTGCGCCAAGCGCGCCAGGTGTGCGCAAGGTGTGCGCCAGGTGCGCCCAACGCGCCAGGTGCGCCAGGTGCGCCAGGTGCGCCAGGTGTGCCAGGTGCGCCAGGTGCGCCAGATGCGCAGGGTGCGCCAGGTGCGCCAGGTGTGCGCCAAGTGCGCGCCAGGCGCGCCAGGTGCGCCATGTGCGCCAGGCGCGCAAGGTGCGGCAGGTGCGCCAGGCGCGCCAGGCGCGCCAGGTGCGCCAGGTGCGCCAGGTGTGCCAGGTGCGACAGGTGCGCCCGGTGCGCCAGGTGCACCAGGTGCGCGCAAGTGCTCCCAGCGCGCCAGGTGCGCCCAGCGCGTCAGGTGCGCGCCAGGCGCGCGCCCGGTGCGCCAGTTGCGCCAGGTGTGCGCCACGTGTGCGCCAGGTGCGCGCCAGGTGCGCCAGGTGCGCCAGTTGCGCCAGGTGTGCCAGGTGCGCCAGGCGCGCCAGGCGCGCCAAGTGAGCCAGGCGCGCCATGTGCGCCAGGTGCGACAGGTGCGCCAGGTGCGCCAGGTGCGTCAGGTGCGACAAGCGCGCCAGGTGCGCCACGTCTGCGCTAGGTGTGGCAGGTGCGTCAGGTGCGCCCAGCGCTCCAGGTGCGCCAGGTGCGCCGGATGCACCAGGTGCGCCAGGTGTGCGCCAGGTGCGCGCCAGGTGCGCCAGGTGCGCCAGGTGCGGCAGGTGCGTCTGGTGCGCCCAGCGCGCCAGGTGCGCCAAGTGCGCGCCAGGTGCGTCAGGTGCGCGCCAGGTGCGCGCCAGGTGAGCGCCAGGTGCGCGCCAGATGCGCCAGGTGCGCCAGGTGCGACAGGTGCGCCCAGCGCGCCAGGTGCGCCAGGTGCGTCAGGTGCGCCAGGTGCGTGCAAGGTGCGCCCAGCGCGTCAGGTGCGCCCAACGCGCCAGGTGCGCGCCAGGTGCGCGCCAGGTGCGCGCCAGATGCGCCAAGGGGACAGGGAGGCCCCAAAGTGGTCTGCGTAAGACGTACCTCCGCTGGGCCTCCCAGGAACCCACGAAAGTGGCGACAGTTGCGCAGATCGCAGCCCCGCAGGGGACAGGGAGGCCTCAAAGTGGTTTGCGTAAGACGTACCTCCGCTGTGCCTCCCAGGAACCCACGAAAATGGCGACAGTTGCGCAGATCGCAGCCCCCCCAGGGGACAGGGAGGCCTCAAAGTGGTTTGCGTAAGACGTGCCTCCGCTGGGCCTCCCAGGAACCCACGAAAGTGGCGACAGTTGCGCAGATCGCAGCCCCGCAGGGGACAGGGAGGCCTCAAAGTGGTCCGCGTAAGACGTACCTCCGCTGGGCCTCCCAGGAACCCACGAAAGTGGCGACAGTTGCGCAGATCGCAGCCCCGCAGGGCACCGCGAACACAGGAGAGAAGAAGGAGGAGAGGGCGGGAGGTGGATACCACAGTGCTCTATTCAAAACGAGAACCCAACACAAGGAGGGTTGGGAATAAAGGGATTTTGTATTAAAAACAATGATGAATGTATGCATTGATTTATTAGTAAATTAATCATATATTAAATCCAATGTATTACAAATCCTATGTGTTAAAACCTGCCCTGTACTCAGTGACGAGCGCATGAACCCGTCAGTGCTAGAGCATCTTTCGGGGATCCCTCTTCGGTGGTGCGCGCAGTTTTCCTGGGTCCGCGCTTTGACGCCTGCGGAAGTTGGTGTTCATGTCTGGTTCTGTCCTCGCCGCAGTGCCTTCTCCACAGAAGGCACGCATAAATTGCGGTCGTTTTTTATTCATTGTTTTGCCGATCGGCGCGGGCCCTCGCACCCCCCCCCTCTCATGGAGTAGATCTTGGCTGTTTTGGGCGCCCGTTTCGAGCAGGTGGAGCCTCCCCCATAATGGACGCACTGCTGCAAACCGTCGCGCCAAGCAGAGGTCCGGAGCCAAACCCCCCCCCCTCCCCCCCTCCCTTCCGCCCAGGTGTCGAGACGCCGAATAAGCAAACGCTGACAGCACCAACGTGCTTAGAAAGGTCCCTCCTTGGCACGGGCAGGGCCATCCTGCGGGCCGGCTCTCCCCTGAAGGCACCCGGGGGCCCTCACGTTCTCGGTGGCGCGGTCCACGACCCGTCCCGGAGCCGGCAGGCCTTGGGCGCGTGGCCTCACGGTCTGCCGAGCTCGTGTCTCGTCTGTGTCGCGCCGATCCTCTTCTGGAGTGCGCCTCTTCATCATCCTTCGCCCGTCCAGTGTAGCGTCACAACCGCCACCACCATCACCACCACCACCACCATCATCATCATCATCATCATTCTCCTCCGCATCATCATCATCATCATCGTCGTCGTCGTCGTCATCATCATCATCATCATCATCATCATCATCATCATCATCATCATCATCATCGTCATCATCATCGTCATCGTCATCATCAGCATCATCATCAGCACCATCGTCATCCGCGTTCTCAGCACCACCATCCTTCTTGCCCTCATCCTCGTTCTCGTCTCTCCTTTTCTTCTCCTTCTGCGCACCCCGCGGCCCGCTGCGGCGGTCGTGCCCAGCGCACCTGAGCCCCGCGATGGGGTCGCGGTGGTCTCGTCCCCGCTCGCGGCGGCTCCCTGCGGGTCTTAAGACGTAGTCGATCACTCGGTGTGGGGAGGGGCAGTGGAAGCGATGGGGCGAGGATGAGGAGGAGAAGGGAGGAGGAGGATATCAGGGAACATGGGAGAGGAGGAATGGCGCGGGGATGTGATGTGGAGGACGGGTGGGGAGGTTCGATGTCTGTTCATGGGAGCCTTGGGTGGCGACATTGAAATCAGCTTTTCCTGCATGTGGACAGCGTGGGGGCCACATTTGGCCCATCCTCCTGCTCCTCCTCTCCCCTCCTGTTCCCCCTCCCCCTCCTCGTTCTCCTAGCCCCCACGAATCCAGTCCAAATCTGGTCCAAATCCCGTCCAAATGTGTTCCAAATCCGGTCCAAATCAGGTCCAAATTGGACAGTGCCGGGGGCCACGCAGGCTCCCATGGAACGGACACCAAAGGGAGGGATGAGTAAGCATGAGGAGAAGGAGAGGAGGCTATGATGATGATGATGATGATGATGATGATGATGATGATGATGATGATGGTGATGATGGTGATGATGGTGATGATGGTGGTGGTGGTGATAATGATACTGAGGATGATGATGATGATGATGATGATGATCATCATGATGATGATGATGATGATGATGCTGATGCTGATGATGATGATGATGACGATGATGATGATGATGATGATGATGATGATGATGATGATGATGATGATGATGATGATGATGATGATGATGATGATGATGATGATGATGATGATGATGATGATGATGATGATGATGATGATGATGATGATGACGCTGATGATGATGGCGGTGATGACTAACTATTATGATGATGCTGATGATGAGGAGGAGGAGAGAGGAGGAGGAGGAGGGAGGAGGAGGAGGGGAGAGGAGGAGGATGCGCGGAGGATGAGTGTGGGAGGGAGTAAGAGGAGGATCAAGAGTGAAAAGAGAGGGGGAGAGCTGAGGAGCAGGAGAAGGAGGAGGAGGAGGAGGAGGAGGAGGAGGAGGGAGGCAAGGGGGAGAGGAGACCAGGAGGAGAAGGAGGACGTAATGCGAGGAGGAGAAAAAGGAGGAGGAGGAGGAGGAGGAGGAGGAAATGGAGGAGGAGAGAAGGTCATAGGAATGAGGAAGGAGGAGGAGGAGGAACAGGAGCAGGAGCAGGAGCAGGAGCAGGAGGCAGTGTTGCTTGCAGGAGGGCAGAGAAGGAAAGAGGAAATAAGTGAATAATGAAGGTGGAGGCAAAGGTGGAGGCGAAGGGAGAAGGGAGGAGGATGAGGAAACGGAGCAGGAGGAGATGCAGGCGCCCCGAGCACATGAGGTCCTGCTCCTCCACGCCGCGCCCGCGAGCCCCGAGGCGCGAATGGACCTCGTCATTCCCGCCCACTCCACACTGAACCGCTCATGGACGCGGTGAGCGCGCTAGCGCAGGACGCACTCGCGCTCGGCTGTGCGCGGCGGGACGGCGGGGCAGCAGCGGCCGCGGCGCGGCGCAGGCGAGCAGGCTGCTCCGGAGCGGCTGTGGCTGTTCGTGGTGGAGGACCTTGCCCGCCTGTGCGCGGAGGGTCTGGCCCCGGCGCCGCTGCCAGCGCCCTCCAGCGAAAGCCGCCGGGCGTCCTGCGGCAATCTGGTGAGTGCACGAGTCGCCCGGGCGCGCCCCGCAGCGCAGCGCCGCCGACCCCGTGTTGGCGGCGACGCAGGCCAAGCAGGGCTGAGCCGCCCCACGCGCACACCGCGCGCGCGCTGGGCCACTGCCAGGGCGGCCGCGCCCCCGGCGGCCAGGGGCGCGCACGCGCCCCTGATGTGGCACGCCCGTACAGTCAACGCCCAGTGAGGACGCGCGCCTTCATCGAAGGTGCCCTTGAGCCCTGGCCCATGCAGCCCGTCCGTTGCCGTTGTCACTGGTCATCCGCCACCCAGACATTCCCAGTTTCGGCCTCCAAGGGTCTGGCGTCCTTGCCACCCGTCCTTCATACACGTTTTGACTGTATGCAGCGCGAGCAGGGCCATGGAAACGCACGGGCTCGCCACAGCACCGCCGTTAGGCGCTGTTGGCGGTGGCCCCTCGCGGCGGGCGGCGTTGGCGGCGCTGCAGGCACCAGACGAGCGGGGGCGCCGTGGGCGCTCGCAGCGCGGGGCGGCCGGCGCTTGCGGTTGTCGACGTCTTCCTGCGCGTTTCCGCTGTCCCTCCTGCTCCTCCTCCTGCTCCTCCTCCTCCTCCTCCTCCTCCTCCTCCTCCTCCTCCTCCTCCTCCTGCCTCTCCTCCCCCTCCCCCTCCTCCACCTCCTCCCCCTCCTCCTTGTACTCCTCCTCCTCCTCCTCCTCCTCCTCCTCCTCCTCCCTCGCCTCTTCGCGTACGCGCTACGCATAGTTTGAAGGCCCTGGGTTGCCCCCCCCGGGGCGGCCGCTGGCTGGTTGCTGGGCGCTCCTGCGGGGCTATCAGCACCGGCTGTGCTTGGGGCGCTATTGCTGGTCGCCGGGTTCTGCGCCGGCTCCCAGCCAAGAACGCCAGGGCGCCAGGAAGGCGCTCCGCCAGCGGACGAGACAAGGCACGGCAAGGGCTCCCACGAGGGCGCGAAGTTATTCGCGGTTCGCGCTTCGCGGTCCTCGTTCCTTCTCCCCCTCCTCCTCGTCCTCCTTTTCTCCCTTTGGGGGGGCGGCGCGAGAGCGCGAAGTTATTCGCGCTTCGCGCTTCGCGGAGCGCGAAGCGCGAAGTTGGGAGCCCTTGGCACGGGAGCCAGGAGCCTTGCAACGGGGGCGCCGGATCTTGCAGGATCTTGCAGGGCCAGGGTGGCATTGATCCGGGCTTGGGCGCAGGATCTTGCAGGATCCTTATCGTTTTAGTCCGGGCTTTGGTGCAGGATCTAGCAGGATATTGCAAGATTCTGCAAGGCCTGACTGACCCTGGTCTGGATTGACCCGGTCAGTACGTCCCCGAGGGTAGAGGAGGGTAAGAGGGGTACCACATGCATTTCATGGGCTTCGGTCGATTGCGCGAAGCAAGCATCGGAGGGGAGCGGCCCATGTTGAGCTCGGGGTCGCTCTTAGGTGGTGGGAGGGTAGGAGAAGGAGCAGATTCTCTCCAATGTGGCTTGCGCGGGCGGTTCTTACATGGTTTGGAAGCACACAGGGTGCCAAGCCTGCGCCAGACGGCCCTCCGGTTGCTTGGTCTTGTTTCCTGATCGAATTAATCGCGTTGTTCGGTCTTCTTTCTTGATTTCTTTATTCGGGTTGCTGGGTTTTCTTTTCTGGTCTTTTTTCGTGCTGGTTGTTTTCAGTCGTGTTTTGCTTCCTGCGGTTGTTCGTGTTGTTTATTGTCGTGTTGTTGTTTGGTGTTTGTTTCGCGTCTTCCTTACTTGGTTTAGCTGGTTGTGCTGCTTGGCTGCCTCCCCCGGCTTCTTGGGTTCAATGTGCTGCGGTTTTGGTTTTACGCTCTCGAGCAATGTCAAGCAATGCTAAACAACGCCTAGCAATGTGAAGCAACGCCAAGGAACACCAAGCAGGGCAAATCAATGCAAACCTATGCCGTTGAAAACCAAACAATGTTACGCACCTCCCAGCAACACCAATCGCCAGCAATCCAAGCTCGGTGCTTGGTACTGCCGGTCAATCGCCAGCCCTACCAAACACATCGATGCCTAGCTAGATTGCACCAGCCAGTTCTGACAGTCACACACACAGGCACACACGCATTTATGCATGTGTAGATACATATATATATGTATACATATATATATACACATAGGTATGTGTGTATGCATGCCAACGCAAACCCATGCAACCCAGTGGCAATCAACGCCAAGAAACTCGAGCCAATGCAAACCAATGCGACGCAATGTGGCGGAATACCATACGAAGCCATCTCGCCCTTTGACTGCTAGGTGCTTTGGAATGTGTCCCTAACTGTGGTCGGTGTGTTTCAAATCCCACCATGCCCCAGGTATGTGTATAACGTAATTCCGTTTACAACAAGCCTGCGATTACCCACCAGCTACTGCATGTTAGCAAACCGCAGATATGCACGACAAATTCTACCCACGAGTGATTGCCCATTTCTGGCGATCACTGTTACCAACAACCTGGCGGCGATTTCAAACACGATTTCGATTGGCATTGCAGCTTCTATTGTTGCCACAACTTAAACATCTAAGCTAACGCAGGCCAATAGGTTACTTGTCCACGACCACTCGTTGGGTATTGGCCACAAGCTACCACTACCCACCTTACCCGTTAATCCCGACCACCGACCTATTAGCCCCATCCGCGTTATTTCCGACCCTGCTACTACCACGTGCAGTCAACATTACATACTAAACCACATACGTACGACCTTACCCCCTACGACCACGGAGTGAGAGGTCACCGTTTGAAGTTGCGCCCCCTCGGGTGCATGCATGTATCGTGAACGGACGGGAGAGAGCGGAAGAGAGAGAGACAGAGGGATAGTGAAAGAGAGAGAGAGAGAGAGTAAGAGAGCGAGAGAAAGAGAGAGGGAGGAAACAAGTCGACAGGGAGTGTGATTGTCAAATGAAGATGGGGAGAAAGAGAGAGAAAGAGAGAGAGAGAGAAAGAGAGAGAAAGAGAGAAAGAGAGAGACACACACATTCTGGCAGACAGGCAGACAGGCAGGCACATAACGACAACTACACATGCACGGTGGGGCGCGGTGTCCCGCCTGTGTCCCGCCGGTGTCCCGTCGGTGTCCCGATGACGATGATGATGATGATGATGATGGTGATGATGATGATGATGCCGATGATGTTGATGATGATGACGATGATGATGTTGATGATTGTGACGGTGGTGATGATGATGGTGTCCCGATGATGATGATGACGATGTTGATGATGATGGTGATGGTGGTGATGATGGTGTCCCGATGATGATGATGTTGATGTTGATGATGATGATGTTGCTGATGATTATGACGATGGTGTCCCGATGGTGATGATGATGATGTTAATGATCCTGATGATGTTGATGATGATGAGATGATGAGGAGATGATGCTGAATATGATGATGGTGGTGTCCCGATGATGATGGTGATGAGGCTGATGATGATGTTGTTGATGATGATGTTGATGATGATGGTGTCTCGATGATGATGATGTTGATGATGATGATGATGGCGATGATGGTGTCCCGATGATGATGGCGATGTTGATAGTGAGGATGATGATGAGGTGATGATTATGATTTGATGATGTTGGCCCGATGGTGATGATGGTGATGATGATGGTGATGGTGGTGTCCCGATGGTGATGGTGATTATGATGGCGATGCTGATGGTGGCGATGATGATGGTGTCCCGATGATGGTGATGCTGATGATGATGTTGCTGGTGATGACGATGGTGTCCCAATGATGATGTTGATGATGTTGTTCATGATGATGATGATATGATAATGATGATGGTGGTGTCCCGATGACGGTGATGATGGTGTTCCGATGGTGATGAATATGATGATGATAATGCTGACGATGACGGTGTCCCGATGATGATGGTCATTATGATGATGATTGTGTCCCGATGATGATGATGTTGATGATGATGGTGATGGTGTGATGATGATGATGATGGTGTCCCGATGATGGTGATGATGATGGTGCCGGCGTTGATGATGATGATGATGATGATGATGATGGTGCTGACGTTGATTGTGAGATCGATTGTGGTATCGATAGTGAGATCGATCGTGGGACCGAGCGTGAGATCGATTGTGGGATCGGTAATGAGATCGATAGTGAGATCGATTGGGAGATCGATAGTCATATCGATTGTGAGAGCGATCGAAAGAAGTAGATCGAGTGGGATCGATCGTGAGATCGATCGAGTGAGATCGATCGAGCGAGACAGATACTGAGATCGATAGTGAGACCGATCGAGTGAGACGTTGGTTCCTCCCCCCCCCCGAACCTCCTTATCACCCGAAGGGTGGTCGTAAAGGTATGTGCACATACACATGCAGGGGTTGACGGAAACGTACTGAAAGGAGGGCGGGAGAGAGAGAGAGAGAGAGGAGGGAGGGAAGAGGAAGAGGAAGATGAGGCGAGATTAGGAAAGAGAGAGAGAGAGAGACAGACAGAGACAGGAGGAGGAGAGGGACAAAAGGAGGACGACTGGGAGAGAAGGGGGGAGGGTCAAGCTAGATGCGCTCGCGCCATATTGGACGTCCCACCCCTCACTTCTATCCCTTGCAATTGCGTAGATACCCTCTCTATTCGCACAGTCGGATGTCGAGCAGGGCAATGATCGCGAGAGGGTACGCGATGCATGGTAGAGCACGGCATGGCATGGCGTAGAAGAGCACGGCAGAGCGTAGCATGCGATAGCATGGCGTTGCATTGCGTAGTGGGACATTGCATCACAAACAAGTGCAACGCAAAGCATGGCATCGCACAGCGGTGCAGAACACAACACCGCACAGCATGTCATGGAATGGCGCCGTGTTCTTTGGACGGTAAGTGGATCGTCTTCGAGAGGTCTGGGCCGGTCTGGAATCGTGGCTCCATGTCTAGCTCCTTGGGCCCCGAAAAGTTCCACGCAAGGCGGGGTTGATGGAGGGCACCCGCTGGCATCCGTCTTCTCAAAGCAGAAGCGGGGCTCCCGCCTGATACTTTCTGAAAACGATCGGGGGTGGACAGAACCCCCACCCTGACACGTCGACTGGTACATTGTCCGTTTTCGGTTCTCGAGAGGGCGCCGCGGCCGTCCTTTTCCAGGCTTGCGCCCGCCAGGTTTGGGTCTGAGTTCGTTTTCACTCAACCGCGTTTTGCTAGAGGGGGCTCTGTCCATCCCCGACACTACGACGCCCCAAAGTGGGGGAGCTCTTGCGGCCAAAAAAGAGAAATAATCGGCATCGAATGAGTAATCACTTCCGATGATTCTTTCGGGGGGGGCATTGATTGACATTTTTTTGCTGATTTGGGAAGAAGGCCAGCGCTGCAGCGGGAGCACGATTCGGAACGAGCGGAAGCGCAGAAATGAGGCCATCGCTGCAGCGGGAGTACGATTCGGAACGAGCGGAAGCCCGAAAATGAGACCAGCGCTTCATCGGGAGCATCATTTGAAAAACAAGCCAAAGCGAAATCCTCGTTCCCTGGAATCTTGTGTGTAAACAACAGTACGCGGAGGGGAGCCTGTCATCACGGGGGAGAGGAGAGTAGTATTCATAGTGTGTATTTGTCAAGGTTTTTGGATTATGATTGTTTGTCTTGTTCGGGCTTCCAGGGACCCATTGGAGAAGGCGGGAGAAGAGGAAGAAGAAGGAGGAGGAAGACCTCCTTTCTGAAGAGGGACAATGAGCTGGAGGAGGTGGAGGAGAAGAGCTTATGAGCGGGGGGGGGAGGGCGCTGTCCTCCCTGGAGACTGCGCCCATTGATGGTTTCACTCATGGACAGTTGAGTGGATCAATTGGGCTGGGGGGGGGATTCTATTCATTTCAGATGTTTTTTCGAGCGTGATTTGCTGCGCCAGTCACCTAGGCTTCATCGCACCTGGCCAGCTCTCCCCCTGTGGCGTAGCTAAACAAAAAAGACACACGGAACGAAGACAGCCAGTCTCATCTCTGCTCCCTTCTCACGGCGCCCGCTTCTTCCCGTTCTCCTCCTTCCTCTCGCTACCCTCCTTCGCCCGCCCTCCCTCTCCCTCTTTTGTGTCCCCTCCTTCGCATTCGGTATCCCTCATCCCCCTCCGCGTCTGCATTCGCCCCTGTGTCTCGTCGCAGTGGTCCCCATGCGAGGCCTCCGAGCTGAGCACAGGTCATCCTTGTGACCCCTCCCCGCGGCAATCGGAGATCATGAAGGGGACCTTGCCGTGAAGAAGTCCGTGCATCTGATTGGAGTGGAGGCAAATTGGCCAATTGCGTTGCTTGCCACACAGAATTGTGATTCCTGGACGTCCCCTGCGGAATGTCATTGTGAGAGTTGCGACAGAGCAGGCCCTCACTGATGCTTTCTAACGAATTGGCCCAGACTGAAAGTAACCTGGATGCCGGGTTGTGGCTCATCTGTCCTTGCCCCCTGCCTGGAGGTCCTGGAGGTCATCGCGCGCATGCTCACTGGATTCTTTCCGATTCCCCCCTAAATGCGTGGAAGTTGGATACATGACGTGGCCAGCCTGGGTGAGGGCTGAATCTGCATGTGGCCAGATGTCTTCCCAGATGTCTTCCAAGCACACACGGCGTCCAAAGCACTCACAGCCTGAGCGCCGGAGGTCCTACGGATCACAGCGTCGACATCCGTAGCTGCGCGGCTGGCTGCGAGGGGGCGCGACCGAGTAACGACAGAGTCCTGCGTCGTAGAGGTCGACGCCATGATGCGTCGATTTCAAGGATCGCGACGCCAGACGCAGAAGGCTGGCGACGGCCTTGTTGCTGGCCGCCAAAAGAGCTCACGACACGAAGTCTCGGTGCGGTCGCAGCTTCGGGCACGTAGACACGTGCGTCATGGAGATGATCCAGAAGAGGCCCCTACTGTAGGTTCGAGTCGTGTCGACCGGCGGCGACCCCGCCGCCGGCGTTCAACGTTGAACGCCGCCGGCGACCCAGAATCGATTGATGCTCAACGATCTAGCGTTTCGAAACGACCCAGAATCGAACGATGTTGAACGGTTCATCGTTCGAGGTTGAACGATCCCCGTGGTGTCAGAAACCAGCGCCAGGGTCGACGCGGCACGAACCTGACGTACCCTCCCGAGGGGAAGTCTGCGGAAGCTGGAGGAGGGTGAAGGAGGCGGGAGAGGAGGAAGAGCATTGAAATGGAGGGCGAGGCGGGCGATGTGAGGGGCAGACGGAGCACGTGAGCAGGATAAGAAGGAGGAGGGAAGAAGGCGGGCAGCGGGAGGAGGAGGAGGAGGAGGAGGAGGAGGAGGAGGAGGAGGAGGAGGAGAAGGAGCAGGCGATAAGGCTGAGGAGACGGAGGGGCAGCATCTGGAGGAGGAGGAGGAGGAGGAGGAGGAGGAGGAGAAGAAGAAAAGCACAGTGCACCGGCAGAACAGGGGAGGGGCAATGCCATCAGCGAGGGGCAGGAGCGGCGCAAACAGCAGGGGGCAGGGCCACGAGGAGGAGCAACAGCAGGACAGGATCGTGGATGAGGATGGCAGAAGCTTAAAGTAAGCAGCCACGGGCAGGCATCTGGAGGATTGCAGGATCCACCAGGCCCTCTCAAACAATCGGGTCCCCGCCCCCCCCCGAAGCACCTGCGGAACAGCTCACAGACTACACGCCTACCCCAGAGGCTCTCTTCCCTCTCTCCGCGTCCTCCCCTCTCCACCTGCAGGAGTCGTGAGGCTGCCCAGCCGCGTAGGAGTTGTCGAGAATTGACGCCGCCAGGGATCGCGCCTTCAGCTCTCCAGAAGCCCTCCTTCGCCGCCGACGGCGGCGGCGGTGATGACGGCGACGTCACGATGTAAGGTCAGGAGCGTTCTCCACCTCCTGCCCTCCCTCCCCCACACCCACTTCTCCATCTCGTTCCCCCTCTTCCCCCCTGTCCCCTCTTCCCCCTGCCCCCTCTCCTCCCCCATGCCCCCCTCCGCATCCGCCTTCACTCGTGGTAGGCCGCAAAGGAAGACACAACAGCTCGCGAGATTACCCTTCCCCCGCCGCCCGCCAGGGGACCGCAAGGACAGGGACCGCAAGGGCGGCGGCAGGGGCGGCGATTGGGAGAGGCTCGCCCGCCCACCGGGTGCGTTGCCCCAAATCTGGAGTACTTTCTCCTGCTCCTCCCCTTCTTCCTCCTCCTTCCGCAGTCTCAGTCTCCCCATCCTCCTCCTCCTCCTGCTTTCCCTCCTCCGCCTCCTCCTCCTCCTCCCTCCTCCTCCTCCCGCCTCGTTTCCCCTCCCCTCTATGTCCCCGCCTCCGCCTCCTCCCCAGCCCCTTCCCCTTCTTTGTTTCCTCATGCACCGTGAGCCTGCGTTCAGCGGCAGGAGGACTCACGGGTCCCTCGTCGCGCACGGCTGGTTTGGATCGATTCCGGTCGCCCTTCGCCGTCGCGCCGGATTCGGCTCAGCGGGGGTTGCGGGGGGTCTCCGGCCGCGCCCGAGGAGCGCCCCCCTCGCCCGAGGAGCGCCGCGGCTTCGCCTGCGTGGCCGCCGACTCCTCGTATACACATCGGCGCCGTGCCGTGTGCGGCGCCGCCCGCCGTGCCGCGTGCCGCGCCGCGCGCCGCG